AAAGCTTAAAAAGTTGTCATTTGGTTATAATTTTAGCATGCTTTGTGAATGTATGTTTGATATATGCCCCAAGGATTAGCTGCAGAGCGTCTTAACAATATCAAGGCGATAATGACCTTCAAAGTATTAAATTTCTAAACCGATTTCCTGTAATTGGCATTTGATTCAGAATTACGTACAATGGTGATGTATCAAAATGTTTCAGTATACGCAACCTCGTGCGTAACATGGCAACAGTTTGTCACAAGCAAAGAATAGACAATTCCCATTATTAGACTAATTTTAAAACTGGGCAAGGAGATGCAAATAAATCGCGTACAAGAGCATACAAAAATGAGTAAAATTGCAAAGTTCGGTATAGCCTAGCCATTGCAAATTTTGTATTATTGTATACTTTTGTATTGTGCGGAAATTGCTACCATTTTCGACCCAAATGCATGTTGGTAGCAATTTCCGCACGCAATACAAAAGTATACAAAATTTGCGAACTTTGCAAGACTATATTTTCCGTATTTTACGACATTTCGCAACCAAACTTGGCAATTTTACTAATTTTAGTATGCTCTTTCCGGGAATATACTTTTTTCGACAAGATAAAAAATAGTCTATAATCAATGGGAAAATTCTATTTAACTGCAGAATAAAAGACCTTTTGAAATGAGCAAGAAAACTTGTCAAGGGAAACTTGTCAAGAAAAGTTTTTATGTGACAAGTTTTATTTGCTCGTCTGTACGCGCAACTTTGACAAGTTTTTCTATGACAAGTGCACTTGTTCAAAAGCTGGCATGCTAGCTTTTGAACAAGTACACTTGTCCTAGTGGTAAAAATTGTCAAAGTAAAAATTTGTTCGTCTGTATGGGTCAACAAAGAAAACTTGTCAAAGTAATTTGAGCATTTGATGTGATTGGCCAGCGCTCGCGTTGTCCGCTGTACTGTTACATTGCTGGCCACTAATAAATTGTCAAAGTAAACTTGTTGACACGTTCACATCAGTAAATAAAACTTGTCATATATAATAAAATTTGTTGCATATAACCACGTGCACTTGCCAAATATAACTTGTCACATAAAAATTTGTCATAGAAAACTTGCTCGTCTGTAACGAGTTTGACTAACGAGTTTGACTAATGGTCGCGTATCGCGGGTAAAAAGTCGCGTGTCGCGGGTAAAATGTCGCGGGTAAAAAGTCGCGGGTCGTAAAAAAGCTCTAAACCGTGTATTTTATTGAGTCGCGGGTTGAATAAAGTGTGTAAAAATCACGTTATCATTTATTAGTTATTTAATGGTTTTTATCAATAGTTGTTCGAAGATGTTATGGCTGCAATTGCGAGTTTCTAGATAAATATAGACAAGAACCATATAACATTATTGTAAAGCACGTTGATAGACGGTGGTCCGGTTGTGCAAAAGGATCCTGTTACACATTCCTATGCTTATAGCCCTGATTTTAGTAATACATAGGCATCCAATTTCTACCATATCAGGCGTAAAAATCCGCTATTCAGTGGCTCAGTGCGCGTTGTCGTCAAGCCTCTGCGCATCGATCAGTACTTTCCAGAAACAACTGCTAGAGAACAACGACTTAAATATCCGGGTTGTTGGTGAATCATAATGTACTTTTATAATGTCCTAGCATGGATAAATCTATTATTTGTGATACTATATGGTTGTTTTTAAATTGGTATAAAACTGATTGTAATAGTAGTGGTAAACTGAATTTATTTCTACCAAAGTCTTGTTTGTTTCTTTCAGAACATTTTTTTGATTAGAGGATTTTTGTCATGGTATAATTGTTGGTTTAACATATTGAAATTATTCTTTCAAGTTTTAGGCTTCTGGCACGTTTATATTGAACCATTAAATCATGACAAAAGGCTCTTGGGCAATGTTTCGTATTGAAGCAATCCTATATGGTTGTTTACTAAATGAAAACGTGATTTTACACACTTTATTCAACCCGAGACTCTAAAATACATGGTTTGGAGCTTTTTTACGACCCGCGACTTTTTACCCGCGACATTTTACCCGCGACATTCTACACGCGACTTTTTACCCGCGACCATTAGTCAAACTCATTAAATCGTGACAAAAGGCTCTTTGGCAATATTTCGTATTGAAGCAATCCTATATAGCTGTTCAGTAAATGATAACGTGATTCTTACACACTTTATTCAACCCGCGACTCAATAAAATACACGGTTTGGAGCTTTTTTACGACCCGCGACTTTTTACCCGCGACATTTTACCCGCGACCCGCGACATTCTACCCGCGACACGCGACTTTTTACCCGCGACCCGCGACCATTAGTCAAACTCGTCTGTAACCGGCTTAAAGCTGGCATGACTAGCTTTGGAACTTGACTCCTTGGCAAGGAAATGTTGTCAACAGTTGCCGTACGCACGAGCAAATGAACCTTGTCAAGGAAAACCGGCAGGGAAAATTGCATGCAGTGCCAGTGATGTGCATGTTGATTTGTCCCCATAAACGGATCTTAGGCCCTGTTTACACTATACCAGATTCGCTGGTCACCACGACATCTTTTGCCGTTACGGAGCAATGGTTAGTAGCAAATGCTTATTAGTTTGACAGAATTGGCATGTTTATTTGGGTCTCTGAGATTAAAAATCTTCACAGCCTTTCGATACCTACAAAATTTGACCCACTCCGATAGCATTCCGGTATAGTGTAAACGGGGCCTTAGTTTACGGTGTTTTCCACCGACAGTACAATAACAGAACAATCCAATCATTCCAATATGTATATATGAATCAATATATTTTTGGTATCTATACACTCTGCTATATTACATCAGGTACTTCTAAATTAGGGTTCTATACTACAATTTGGTTATGATTATATGCTAGGGTCACATGCACAATGTCACACATTACGGGAATTTTAAGTATTTTCAGTAATACATGCAATACAGTAAAGTCGGTGAGTGTGGATAGCTTATATGCTTATACTAGTTCAAAGAATCTTTCTTTCGGTTCCGATTTTCTATCTATATTCTACTCGGGTAAATTAGCAAGTGATACTGTATGCTGGGTCTGAAAGTTTTCTGTTTTTAAATTTTGTTGGCGATGAATAATGCCGCAATATATATATATATATATATATATATATATATATATATATATATATATATATATATATATATATATATATATATATATATATATATATATATATATATATACTGCCTTTACTTAAACAAAATGTGACTGTTCACCAAATTGTGCTAGGTCAATTGCTTTGGCGTAATAAGCAAATGAGTGATTTCAGTACTAACAATACCAGTTTTACTTCCGATAGCTTTAATCACGACTCGATTGGTCTTGTTGATATTCGCAGTAGCATTGGCAGGCACTTCAAACCTCAGCTCGAAAATTCTTCGCCGTGCATTCCGCATATGTCTTCCTTGTGGTATCACATCTAGGGCGTAACCAAAGCCATCATTCACATCAAATCCATAATTCTCTGCAGAAGGATTATCAATGGCCAGGATTAACTTCGAAATTTTTCCAATGGGCAAGGTGTACCTACTGGCATAAACCACCCTCAAACGGAACGGTTTCGCTTCGTCGTAAGCCTGTGCAAGTCGAGTAAACATATGTCCTGATTTTGTTCTGCCTACCAGTTGTAGCTTGTATGGACGTTTGTCGACTCTAATTTTTGCAAGGAAACGAAATCCACTCTTTCCAACTGGATTCAGTTTAAATTTTCCGCCATATGTGCCGTTCTTGTAGACAACGTTGAGATGAAGCGAGCTGTTATCGACATGTTGCATCTCGTAAATTGTGAACATCACCATTGCGTCTTCACCTGCGGGGGAAAAATCATGCCAACATATTTTATGCTAGAAGGTACAGGCGACATATACGGTTAGTTCGCTGTCCTTTTCCTCTGAGTTAAACCTGCTACTGTAGGTCGAGGGTGCATGGGATATTAGGGAGTTTAAGCTCCACGTTTCCGGGAACGGCAAACGGCAGATTCGAACTTTCTTGGCAAACTTTTCATTGAACGTTTTCGTTTCATATTTTCTTTCTTGTGTCGAAAGAATAATCATGCATTGCAGTTTTAAAACAGCAAGTTAACTTACTCTTTATTGCCTGATACCGTAAAATTCTTCTTTGCCGCCAATTTGCCGTTTGACGTATAACGCGAAGCTTAAGCTCTCTATAATATTGCTGAACTTCGGGGATACCTGTGCAGACTTGATGTGCTTGAAAACTCGTTTGAGTAGAGTTGTGGTTGGTTGGTTGCTACCTTTTCTTTTGATAATTTTTATCCGTGCCCTACACCACCCTCTCCTTCAAGAAACATTTAACTCTTAGGCCTTAGTTGTCGACCATGTGTATTGTGGGCCTCGAGCTCGGATGAATGGGGCAACAATGGTATGGGGACATATTGAGAGGAGATGAATGAGAACCGGTCAGAGACATTCTGAAATGACGAGATTAGAAGGTGTGGAGTGGTAGATACTGCGAGGCTGGGATAGAGAAGGGTATGTGATAAGAAGAAATGAGGAGAGCCGGTCAGAGACATTATGGAGTGAAGAGATGTGCGGTGGTAGACGTTGCGGAAAAGGTGAGGGAAGCAAGGCTGAGATGGTATGGATACGAAATAAGAAGAGATATAAAGGAGCCGGTCAGTGACGATATAAATATCAAGAATTGACATGCAGAGGCATGGCGAGGGACAGAGAAAAGCATGCAGGACAAGAATCCGAGCAGCGGACGGCCGGGTCAGTCAGGGAACTGCGTAAAAGAAGAAGAGATTCCCATTCCTTTTACTTACCTAATAACGGATGAACGACAGGGATATGATCTCTACTGCTCTTCTTTGGAAGATACTTAAAATAATAATGACTGAAATCAATATTCAGTTTACTGATGGTCCTCACGAGGTACTCTATATCGCCTGCTGATGATGGAACTTCCAGCGTCCAGTTTCCAGGTGTTGGATTCCCCACATCGAAGATTACATTCATATCCAGTCGATTCGTTGCATTTTGCTCAACACCATTCGGGGACATTAGCCGTACATTTGTGCCCATCTTTGACATTATTACTGTGAGTACTAAAGTTTTTATGGTGTCATCAACAACAATAGTATAGCTTTTTGTTTTGGTTTCATTGACTGTATTCGAGTCCACAGTTGCTCCGCCTTGGAGGTTTTGTTTCACGAATTTTGCAAGTTTTCTAATCTCCTTGGAGCTATGCAGCGGAAACATAAGCCCGCCTGTCGCTTGCGCCACACTCCTGAAACTTGCCATCTTAGATATATGTCCACCACAGTCTCCGCTTGTAAAGAAGTAAACAGAGATCCCAAGATCTATGGCTAACGCAGTCACTGTTTCGATATTTTCTCGAGTGTCATCTTTAGCGTACGCGTCAGTGAACACATACATAGCAGAACCGGGCATCGGGCTGTAATAAAGAGCCTGGAGTAGTCCTTCAAATGCCATCTCAGGACAGTCACCACCGCCATCTACAGTGATATTTCCAATGGCTGAGATCGCTTGTGGAAGATCATGCTCATCGTGGTACACAACTGGAGCGACATCTTCAAAAAATACAAGAAAAGGAATAAAAAACCAAGCAACTATAAATGCAGTGAAAGTGATCAGAGCAATGCATGAGAATCGCAAAGAACGCGCAGGTCAGATTACTGCCTGCCGATCTGGTGTTGAACATGCAACAGTGGTGGAAACTATGGGGGCGAATGGGTCAGGTTAATTCCCCCACCCCCTTGTGTTTCATAGCTATGTCTCTGAAAGAAACCTGATTAATTATGGCAACAAAATTGTGATAAAGACAGTGTTTTCAACCCTGACATAATTTTTCGTTAAAAGTTACATTTTAGTTAAAAAGGTTTCAGGGATGAAATTTACAGCAACTATATAGAGGGCCACACCATAACACCCCAAGTGTGTAAGCAAAACGAGACGGAGTGGAATGGTAGTAATCGTATACAGCTGGTCATAATATGCTGTTCGATGGCCTCGATCAGTGCACGCACTAGATGCCAACATACCTGGATCACTGAAAGTGGATAATATAAAATTGACAGGAACTTCGCGTTTATGTGAAATGATTTCTTCAGCAACAGCTTTTGCTGCTTCTATATCTTCTTTCATACTTCCTGTTGAGTCGATGACAAACACCAAAGTAACCTAGACGATGATAAACATAGCAATATGTAACAAGAAGAAAAAATGGTGAATGTTTTAAATCATTCTTCATTTATTCTCTCTTATTATATAAAGAAGATTTCAATTGGAGACTAAAAATCTTCTTTTATTCTTCTTTACCGTGCAAGAGGAAACACATCAGGTCATTGGCAACAAGATAAACAATCTTGAATTTTTTTGTTTCTGGTGTTATGAAAAAATATTTAAGATCATAGAAAAACACACTGAAATCGAAGAAACTATATAGACTGAGTTCCGAAATATCACTCCCTCGAACCGACTTGACCTCGTAACTCAGTTGGTAGAGCATTGGACTAGCAAACCAAAGGTCGTGGGTTCGATTCCCACTGCCGTCGTGCAAACGTTTCAGCTTGCCCGGTATGCAAACACTCAGAGACAACATCACAAACATATAACAAGATATAAACATCCAGGGGTGGAAAGGCTAGCACGCGAGCACTGCTCGCAGGAAATGTTAATCAGCTGCAGGACATTCGTTTGAATGAAGATTTGGTATTGAAAATATGAAGGAAACCTTAACACCCATGTCCCACTATGGGCGCAACAACATATGGTTGACAGACATTATTCCTTGAATTTAAAACCATGGTCAACTATAGAACACTATATGTTTATGCACATGCAAATTTAGCACAAAAATACTTGGCTCCAGGTTGTGCTCCCAGGAAGAAAAATTTTTTTCCTGCCGTGTAAATTTTTACAAAAAGCACTCGTGCATGTCAATGCTTGGACGTTTTCAAAAATGAGGCAAAACTAATAGTTATAATAGTATAATACGTGTGATATTCAGGCTTTTAAAATCTCGCAAATTAATTTGTTATGCTGGTTATTTTTCCAACCGGCGTATAGTCCTCGGAAAAATTACTCGCCCCTTTTACCTGTACCCGCTCCCCTTGCCTGCACCCCGCTCCAAAAGGATCATCCCATTTCAAGTCCGAGAAATGGATTGATATGAAAAACAAGTCCATATAGACACGAGTGATTTCAAAGTAGTTATTTCAAAATCCTCGTCAGTCATCGCCATAATTTCGTCTATTTAGGCTATTATGGTTCATCCCATATGAGTTCAATGAAATCTATACTCTGAATATATTTTGTCCATCTGACAACAATTATTTCCCATGGAGCTATTACACTTCGGTCGCGACTATTTCTCGACAGGAGGGAGATTGGTAAATTGGCAACAGGACAAAACAAAAAATTCCCACGTTTATTTTAGGCATGCAATGTTTTGCAATGAGAAAATAAACTGAGAGTTAGTCTATGTTTAATTGAATAAACAAAGCGAACGCATGGCTATTTTATATAGAAGTGTTGATTTTGCCTACGAATGGGTACTAATTCGAGAACAAAATGTTCCTCTGACCACCCGATTCCCTTGGGGTAATATTTTTTGTGATTTTTTCTTGGAATCGTATGTAATATTCCTTTTCTTTCAATAGTTTTTAAAGTCCTTAAACACATAAATGATATTTGGTGAAAAAAATGAACTTAAATGTTTTATAAATCAGCAGGACTTGTATCAGGTAGACAATTAAGCTCCTTCACGGCTTGATTTGTTAGTGAAAACAAGGGTTGTTGACAATTTGGCATCCATATAATAAATACAGTCACACTTCTTCTAAAACTTGAGGAATACAGCTTCATTTTATAGACTAGGCATTTTAAAAAGAAAATCTATGAGAATTACATATGTTGGGCCGGAGATCGGAAATTTTTCGTAAGGGAGGTGTCGGAATAAGGAAAGCTTCGACCGTATTTCTCCATGTCTGGCTCAGTTGTGTAAAAATCTTAATTAACCACTTTTATTTTATAGTTAACTTTGAAGTTCGCGGTTTTCATTGGTTAACTTTCGCACTAACTGTAGTCACTTTTTATACAACCGGGCCTTGGACTCTATGGATTTGGAAACCGGCTGTTTATTTCTGTAAAAAAATTCCAAAAATGTTTGGTTTGTTTTCCATGATAAATATACTTCCCCATGTTTATCTAATTGAATTAACAATTAAACAATATCAATACTAACAGTAGGACTTGCTCTAACCGCTCGAACTTGAAAGTTGAATGTTGGCTTTGTCAACAGTAGATGAGGTATAAATAGTTTGAATCATCTACTGCGCACGTCTTGTATGGGAATCTGAGTGTATCTATTATAGCAACCTGATTTGTTATGAATATTATTGATTTATTTTAAAACTCGAGTATCCGTTTACTAATAAATTTAGAAAATTCACACTCGAAATTGCCATCTACAAAATCCTTCTGCAATCAGAAGGAAAGCCATGCTTTACGTCCCTTGTGATTGCGTCGTAACTCGCAAGTGAAAACCAGTATGTGGGAGCGTTATATTTACTTGCATGATTTGGGTGACATTGCCATAACATATTAGGGAGATCTATTGATCTTGCAGGGTGTATAAAAAAAAGGAGACCTTTAGAAATCAAATGAATTAAATTGTTAAAATTTGAATGCCTTTTCAATTGCACATATGCTGAACCGAAGTGCGTGAAATATTAGACAGGTTCAGATTTGACTTCCACTACCACTACCGCTACCTTAAATGTGTTACGCATGCGCAGTAACTGCAAGAGCGTGAGGAAATCGTCGCATGTTTTTGTTTTGGGACCATAACAAAGCGATTTATGGTCGTCGGGAGAAGTCTAATCTGAACAGGTCTAAACAGTCCGTCGCGACCGCTACCAATGGAGCCGTCAAAGGTAGCGGTAGTGGTAGTGGAAGTCAAATCTGAACCTGTCTATTGATGGGGTGCATAAATTAGAAAAAGGAGACCTTTAGAAATTGAAATAACGTTTAAACAAAAGATTGTCTGCTCCTGGGAACAATCTGCCATGTATACTGTACGTAGATCGCATGTTACACACTCGTGGGCTTAGCAAAGTGCTCCAGGATTCAAATTATTACAATGGTTGATTTCAAAAGGTCCCGTTTTTCTAATATATGCACTCATCAATATTTCACGCACCACGGTTCAGCATATGTGCAATTGAAAAGGCATTCAAATTTTAACAATATGCTTGATTTCTAAAGGTCTCCTTTTTTTATACACCCTGTAGTTGGCTATAACGTGAATTTGCAATCATGTCCTTAATTATTGCTTTAATTAAATTATGGTGACATTGCCATAACATTAGGAAGATCTACTGATCATTATAGTTGGCTATAACTTGAATTTGTAATCATGTTCTTAATTATTGCTTTAATTAAATTTAACATCAGCAGTTTTGATTGGCTAAAATTATATCGTACACTAATTTCTAAATGAAGATCCTCAGCTAATTAATTGCCTTTGGTCTGCGGTGAAATTCGGATAGGAATCAGACTGTTTATGGCATGTTCGGGTTACAATAGGACTAAAATAGATAAAGATTGGCTGCTCATGTTTTAACTAGTACATAATTATAGCTAGGTCCCAAAAGTTTGCTGCATTCAGAAACCAAAAGACGATTTCCTCACAGTATGTGCAAATGTACTATATTCTAGTCGACACAATTTCAGAATGCTTACTGTTACTATTGTTTTGTATTTTGTTAAAATACTCCATGGTTTGCGCAATTTTTGGCACTAACTTATTGTTTATTCCTGGTTTAAACTGTTCTAAACAACAAATACATGTGCTTTGTACAAACATTTAGAAAAAACATCAGCATACTTCAAAATAGTTTAACTAAATACCTCACCTTAGAAAAGCATTAAATATTTCAATATAAGTTTAAGCAATTACCTCGCCATTTATGCTAATGAGCTCCTCAAAGTGCTCCTTGCCAATTTGCTGTTTGATATCGCTTAAGAATGCTTTGGCCCCATCCAACAGCGCTTTCCTATCGTCGCTTTGGCCAGTGGCCTGCTTGCTAGAGCTGAGCCGAGTCATGTTATGAAATATCGCTCTTCCTAAAACCTGTCGAAAGGCCTCGATGTTTCCCGACTTTGCAGACCGTTCTAAGATTTTCATAAATTCTTCCGCCTCCTTTTGGTCAAACGAGAGTACTCCTTTTTGCGCCTGCATGCTGGCGAGCGCTTTCTCGATTTCGTCGATCGCGCGATGAAACTTGTTGTTTGGTTTGAGACTCTTGTCAGTCGCAAGCGAAGTGAATGCTTTTCTTGCGATGTCCATAAAACGCGTATCTAAGGCCGAACGACGTTGACGTTGGGCCCGACGGCGATAAGATCCTGTCTGCCATGGGCCAAAGCGTTTTGCAGATGTTGCGACTACATACGTAGCGCAAATCATCATGCAGACGATGAAGCCTTTTCGAATCATTTTGTCACAAAATAATCTACACACTATTCCAAACTTCACGCAAAAAAAATCAACAATCTGCTATTTTGCATGTGCTGTGACTTTGCTTCGTGCGCAAGGCTAATTTCGACTAATATGCGTTCCGCGAGCGGCCCTGTATTAATATATAAACGCCAATTCTGAACAGTACGGTGCCGGTGATGAATGATAACACAATACGATGCGCGTTTATTTTTCAGTCCATAGAAAAAGTGACCCACTGACAGTCAAACGAACCGAAATTTGTTGCAAAATATATCAGCGGGAGAACATCGCAGGGGATAACATTAAACGGTGTGCCTCGAGGAAGCACATCTACGGAGGTCATTAACATGCCTGAGAAGTTATCTCGTTTATTAGTTGGAACTTATTAAATAATAGCAAGGACGCAGTCGCTGTGACATTCATGTATACTGCGACCCCTCCTGCGCAAGTTTGAATAGGAAGCTGTTGGCTGCGCGTTTTTTAGCCTGTTTTAAGGGCCTGTTTAAGGTATATACTTTGTTTTGCGTACCGTACCGAAACGTATCAAAAACGTTTTTAAATTTCAAAATTTCGTGAACGTTGATTGGTTAGTACTTCCGTAGTATGCCAAAAAGTTGACTTGCGACGAACTTTTTATTTTGATACGCGAATACACCCGGAAATACGTGGATTTATAAATCTCTTTTCAATCTGCGCATGCTCACCAGTACGTTTCGGTACGATACGGGCGAAGTGGAAAACCGGCTTAAGACTGGATTGAAATTGATTCAGTCGTTGGACTGGATCGTAGCGTATGAGATGTCATATGAAATCCAACTTTTCGGACTTTACCAGATATCCAGCTAGTACCAGTTGCAATTAGTTCCGCAGTCATTCGCAGACTTTTTTCAATCTGCAGGTAAAGTCCTCGTAGTCAGATTTGGTATATTGCATATCATACGTGAGCAAAACACAAAGGTGATCATGACCGTGAAGGATGTTGTACAAAATCCTGCTGATTTACAAACGTCATGCAGTTTAACTAGCTATAATATCTTGTACAACACGGCAACTCATGCTGTACGTGCTACTAAAGGTAAAGATCAGTTTGTGAAGACATACCATGGGGATATGAGGCTCTCGGGGAGTCTCGTATCCCGGTGTATCACCCCGCCTCTGCGAAGCGTGCGCTTTCCCCGCGCCACATTATATATAGGAATTTAAACTTAGAAAAAGAAGGACCTTTTGAAGTTTTTATTGTATTGTATCATACATCGTCTACTACACTAGTACACACATATGAACGTTATATTATATAATACATTAGTACACATAACACAAGTGCAATATTACGCTATACCACGGACAAATCGGCTGTTTTGGCCAGAGCGCCTACATGTGTAAGCAGTTTTGGTTTTGCGCCCGCGAGAACAATCAAACTGAATCATGTGAGAAATCCGTCGTTCCAGTCGAAAACACGATGTCACGAAAAACGCGCAAGTTATGTCACAGGCGATTACAAAGTTTGACAAACTGTTACAGATTTAGATTTGACTTCCAATACCGTTACAGCTGCTACAATTAACCCTGAATTAACCAATCAGATGCGTTTAAAATACCCGACTGACCAATCGGATACGTGTGACAGTTTGCGGTAGTGGAAGTCAAATCAAATCTGAACCTCTCTATTAATGACCTTGAGTAGTTAAGTTTTCCTTGAGTGACAAACTTGTACCGAACTGAAGCATTGTTACAACTTGTTCAAACACATCCTGTTAACAAGTTGTTAGATTTTTCGTGTTAGTTTAATTGACTCTCACTTTCAGTGCATGTTCAAATGGATTTGCTTTACTGTGTGGTCGGCAAAACGATCATAATTAAGGGATATAAAGATATACTTTACTTCCAATCCAACTGTCTTATACAGAACATATTTGCAAAGAAATTGAGAAGCATGAAATAAATTAATATTGAGCACTGAAAGCATCCTCCATATAAATTATAAAATGCTGGTCATCCTTGCTGTATTCTTTGCCGTATGTGTCGAAAACTGTGCAGCAACCACAACAACTACAACAAACAAACAACAATAACATAACACTGACAACAACAACAACAATGTAACCATAATTATCACAATCACCACCAACAATCAGTTCACAAATTCATATAAAAAGTTTGTTGTTTGTTCAGTTTACACAGCCATGTTTCCAGTTGAAGAACGCCTTCCTATGTAGAACCTAGAAAAAAATGCAAACACCAGTCAATACTGGTTAACTTCTGGGAAGGGGCTTGTGGGATTTCACAGGTCAGAAATTGCATTTGAAGGGTCAAACATGGACTGATTATTCATTAATCACTAAGGCTAGCTATTTTGATTCATGATTTTGGGCTCGTGTGGTGAACTGTAATGGAGGCGTGCCCCCCAGGCATCCCCGCTGTAAGCTATACTCACCCGATGCCAAAAGCAACGATATGCGTAAACAAGATTGTTGGAATGACGACATAAAAATTCACTTGAAAAGCATCAGTTTTACTAAATAAAATATAATTTCAATTAATAGAAAATTAAAATTTTATGTTTGTTGTGAAAATGCATGGTGAAAATTGTGTATTTTGTAGTACCTCTCAACCATGGACATCTTTTGTTTCTTTTCAATGTGTTTCTGAGGAGGGTACGTAAGTCGCCATTTTCTATCAAAATATGATTTTATTAGTGAATAAATTAATTAAATATACTTGTGCAATTTACTTTAACTAGTGTTTAAGTGAACTCATTGAGTGCCAGGGCTCTCCCCTTGATGGCTAAAATCATCTGGTGTTAGACAGAGTAAAATAAATTAGGGTGCAATGCAACTTAATGGGTTAAGGTGCTCCTGACTAATTCAGATATGGATATGGATGGTTTACAAACAAAGTGTAGCTCAGATGTCAACATGTTTTACATGACCCATACATTGGTAGGCATGCATATTATATGGACATTTTCTAGCGGTGGACAAAGCTTCAAAAACCAGGCAGGTGGGCCTTGGCTATGAGTTTGGGACAATGAATTACAAACTAAGGTATATATACTGTATGCTCTAAAGTGCAATCTATAATCTGTATATAGGCATCACTTTCTTTGTATGTAAGTCTGCTCCTTACTTAGGAGGATGTGGTTCAACACGGCTTGCCCAATTTTCTATCCAACTTGGGTCATTGGTCAAATTTTCTGGGGGTAACACCTAGTACAAAGCAAAAAATAAGAATCGTTTATGTTTAACTTACTGTTTAATTTAAATTAAACTGCAAGTGTTTGTGTTTGACACTACTGTGTGTGTGCTGTCTGCCTGTTACTAATACTAATGTCAGATGATGAGTTGACTTCAGGTTTTATGTTTGATCACTGGGATTTATATTCAAAAAAATATGTTGACCTGTAAACCAGTTTATAGACCAAGTTCAGAAGCATTCTGATTATTACATATTTGCAATCATGCAGCTATATAGGCTGTTAGTATATTATGAAGTTGTGCGACGGGAGCAATATTTGCAGTTACAAGATCCATTTGGAAATACCATATCAGGGCATAAATCTTGGACAGACAACCTATAAATAACAGATGTCATGACCAACTAGAGTGCCCACCAGGAGTGTTTCATTAAAAATAATATTTTTGTTTAACTGAATCATTCACTCCATCCATCCAAACTTAAGCCTTCAACACCAGTAGATTGTATGTGGAAACTTGATCTGAAATAAATTGGATCTTACCCTTGTATCTGTCTCAGGCCTAGACTCTGTTGCCCTTTCTTCAGTTGGCGTTGATAACAAACTAAACATATTATATTTTTAATAACTACATTGCTGTATCCATAGCAGACAGCATTACAGCATCTAAGTGATAATACCTTAATAACCTTACATAGCTATAATATATTCAATTTAAACATTAAAACGGTGATAATCCTCCAACTTAATACCTCTGTCTCTGTGAATGTGTTCCTGATGCTTTGTCGTCGGCTGCTTCTGCTAAAAGGTTTTCCATTTCACCGTTATGTATTGAAAATGGACGTTCATTCCCATTCTTATAGGATTCATCTAGCTTCACCCAAGATCCTACAAAATTGTTATCGTATTCTAATATAAAAAGTAACTTGTTATTCCATGCTAATCTACAGAGAAATTATTGAAAAATTTTCTGTTGACAACTAGTGCAATATAGATAATGAAACGCAGTTAGAATCTCATTTTCAACGCACCATTTAGCGAGTCGTTACTTGAATGAGAACTACCATTTTGGCTCACAGCATCTTGCTCTGACATGGTTTAGCCTTTCACAGCTAATTTCGTGATTTGGAGACCAACAAAAGAGCAAAAATCTTGATTTTGTTTCAATGTTTAGACTTCTAACAAAAAGTAACAAATTATCTCAGCGTTGTTATTGTTGTGATATGACGTCACGATCTCCCGCTATATTTGCAGAGAAAACCTGGGGCGAGTCATGCCGATGATCCGATTATTGTAAATCTGTAAATCCCTTGCAAATCCCTAAAATGTATGGCAATGAATTAAGTCTGTTCATACCTTTTGTTAAACTGTAAAACAGGGGGGTGTAAGTGAAATTTTCCTCATCTTTTTTTTCAACGTACCCTTTCTCGCTCAGTTTCCTCGATGTTTCCCTAAATTTCTCAAAATTTTACCTATAATTATCAGTTTAATCTGTTTCACTAAAATATTTCAGTTTTTTCCCTCCTTATCCAATTCATGTTTTGCCAACTGGGAAAAGAATTTGCCGACTAGAATAAATAATTTGCCAATTACCTGACGACTGGGAAGGGGTGTTCCCCCACCTCTAGCGCCGCCCCTAGCCTTGTGCATCAAATACACCAGTGCTTGGAAGGACAAATGTCTGGCCATTTATCTCAGTTCACACGTTCATTCATATTTTTTGAAATTAAATTAGCACGACGTATTTCAGGCTGGTCATGATAGTCCGCTCTGCAAAACTGAGTGAGTATCTACCAGTCCTAAAGTCCGTCACTAGATATGAGTCAATCCGAGAGTCAATCGAGTCAGTGACTCGGTAAGAATTCAGTTCATGAAAAAATTTAAAATAGGAAAGCTCAAGTTCAATGACAGACTGTAGTTCTCTCCATGTGAAGAAGCATTCTTCATGTGAAGAAGCATTCTTCTTGCCCTAGTGACATAAGAAGTGGGATGCTGTGTGCAGGGACGTCGCTATAGGGGGGTGGGGGGGGGGGTGTAACACCCCCCAATAATTCAAACGTTGGTCAAAGTTGGTCAAAATGGAACTGATATTTGCCCAAAGCCGTTGGTCAAAATGGAACTGATATTTGCTTAAAATTGAAGGGAAAACTCGGAAAAATTTGGTAAAAGTTTGGGATATAAGATGGTCGAAGATGTTAAAATTAATGGAAATTTTTTTGACTATATCAATCCGGAAAATTTTTTTGACCTCGCGACGTCCTTCGCGACGTCCCTGGCTGTGTGGGTGCACAAGTACCCCAATAACAAAAGTGCGGGCTAGCGCCCCAAATATCACCACAATTGGGCACAAACACTTTTTTTATGCACCTGATGTTGGACGAAGCGTATTCGTAATTCTTCGGTGGCGCAGTCGTCACGGCAAGCGCCTTTCAACTCTGAGATCGTGGGTTCGATTCTCGCTATGGACTCATGTGAAAAGAGTCTGTCAACGCTCTACCGAAAGTCGTGGGTTTTCTCCGGGTGCTCCGGTTTCCTCCCACAGGGAAAGTTGACAGGGTGGGTTAGGATAAACATAGTTAGGAAAGCAATATCTCAATTGTTGTAAAGATAAATAGTCTAGGCTAAGTAAGTAACATGAGCGTAATACTTGATGTAGTCGGTCGCTGAAAAGCCCCAATGGGGAGCGAGCTGAATCATAATGTAATGTAATGTAATCGGTAATTCTTAGCCTCAGGATTGGGTACAGTATTATGATCATTGTGTCACTGTTTATGAGATTGATTTTTCATTTGAACTGCTCCCAGAATGCAGGAAATAGTGTTTCTAAGCCTTAGAAAATCAAACATTTTCTGGGGGAGCCGCCCCTCGACTCAAAAGATCAAAAGATCCTATAGTTTATACGGGCCTAAATGCATCAGTAACTATAGTTCAGGTTATTTAATGCAGCAAGAACAAATATTGGGGAAATGTTCACTTGGTTATATTGCTTTCGGGTTTCATTAATAAAAATTAAAAATGGCTACGCGGAAATGTTTACTTTCACGGCAGTCGAGATCTGTTCGTCGTAGAATCGAGTTCAAATGTTCCCCTCACGCCCCGGTTGGGAAAATGGAGAAAGTTGAACTTTCTCTGTCAGGAAATGGAGAGAAAACTTGTGTTGCTTCTTCAGTTAGCGTTCCCTTAATTCCTTTCTTATTTTATAATTTTTAAACGGCTACTCACGAGTGATGTGATTTACATAAAGGATTTATGATAGATAATAATACATAACAACTGTTAGAACATGCATACATAGGTCATAGCTTTATTTTTTATATATATGTTGAAGATTAACATTGTTTTTTTTACAGTTAATTCAAGCAAGGTTGTCCTGAGAAGATCAAACCTATTCAAAACTCACAACCACCTCACCCGCATTCAAGGAAGTAGCCTGCGAGCAGCCTCAACCCGAATTTATTAAATATCAACTTGATATTTTAAATAAATTCGGGCTGAGGCTCAGCCTCGTACCCAGGCGCTTTGTTGTGCTACACCGTCGCGCGATACGCACGCGGGACGACACGCGTGGGAGAAAATGGACTGAGATTGAGGCTGCTATTACTCAGGTTGTACTGACAACGGAAAAACCTCGACCTTTTAAGCCCGAAAGGCAAAACTGTACGTATTCGTGTTTACGCTTCTACATGCTAATGCGTACCGTTTTGCAAAACGCACTGAACTTCCATGCCCCCATTCTCCATATGCACGTTCAGTGACATAGGAAGATATTTTATGTTAGGAAAGATGAAATTTGTGGAGAGCACCATTAAAAGGTACCAGGGGATTTTAAAAATCGACGCTCGGAAATGCCATTTTCTGCATTTTCCGGGGCGAAATTGAAGAAAATTATACAGCAAAAATATTGCAAAAAATTTGTCTCCTGTTCGATTTTTTGGCAGTTTGAATCATTGATGCGTTTTGAATGACTGAGGGGTTCAGCAAGCTATTATAGCCAGCAAATGAAACATAATTGAACTCAAGAGTTCAAACTACCTGTAAATGGAAAAGAGCTCACATTCGGTTAAAAAGGACTATATCAAATACATTTTTTCTATAATTTGTAGATATAACACATGACTTGATATACAGAGTGTATCAAAAAAAGCGCAATCCTCGACTGAAATGTAAATTGCTAAACAAATAATAGACAAAAACGTTAAAGTTTACATTCATTTTAAAGCGTAGCCATTCAGCTTTCTAACAGTGGGTTGTTTCTTAAATTTGACTCATTGGT